TGCCTCCTAAGTGCTGGGATTAAAGATGTGTGCTACCACTCCTGGCTGCTGGCATTCTCTTTCTACAGTCATTGCTAAGCTTGATCGAGGTAAAGTCAGAGCTGTTGGTGGCTTTATTTCTTACCTTGAAGAAGGAGTAGGCTTAAAATGAACCAGCACAGAGGAACCAAGAGATAGAGGTGGGTGTCTCAAACATCACCTGAGCATCCAGATATACCCTGAAGCCATAAACTCTCGAATTTCAAATCATGTGAGACATAAACCCAATACTCTTTATTTTGCTTTATTTATGATGGTGTGAGCTGGGTTTATATTGCCCATCACTCCAAGGCTGCTGATCAATATCATGACCCAACTAGACAGCAAGCTTTCTGAGAGCAGGGACTGACTCCATAAGCTCATGATCCTTGGGGTCAGATATGGTGACACATTTTTTCTGAAAATATCTCTGGACTCCAAAGGGACTAAATATTTTTCTGGACCTTGCAGCTGAGTTAATAATATTCCTTGAGATTATTTAAGACTATGTACTTAACCTGCTGTCCTACTGTGTACTTAGGTTTATGGCTAAACTGCCTTTAAGAGCACAATGTGCCGGGTGTTGGTGGCGCACGCCTTTAATCCCAGCACTTGGGAGGCAGAGGCAGGCGGATCTCTGTGAGTTCGAGGACAGCCTGGACTACCAAGCGAGTTCCAGGACAGCCTCCAAAGCCACAGAGAAACCCTGTCTCGAAAAACCAAAAAAAAAAAAAAAAAAAAAAAGAGCACAATGTAACCAACCTTACTATGTCTTGAATTTTCTGTGCAAACACCTTTTATAAACTAAGCTAATACAATTTTGTACACTTATGTGCTCCAGACCCAGAATACTGTACACACACACACACACACACACACACACACACACACACACACACACACGAACGCATCATTTACTGACAGCAGTCAATAAGTTGTGGGCAACCTTATGCAATAATTGGAAGCCACCTGTAGATACAGGTTGACTACATATGCTCACACTGTTGAATGCTATTCTTGCACAGCTGGGGTCAGTAAAGCAATTTCTTCCTTTCAAAATTCTGTTAAGATTTCTGTAAAGAATTTCTCATTTCTTTCCCATACCATGTTTTCTCTGCTATTCAATAAGTACAGAGCAAAGTCCTTTGGGAGGAATACACACAGGCACAGATTCGGGCACACACAGGGACACAGGACCGATACAGGCAATAGCAACAGGGACGATCAGATACACATAACTGACAATAGATTGCTCCATAACCACAGGTAGAAGATATAGGGACAGACATGGAGAATTCTATTTTTGGCTTAATCTTAATCAAGCTAATCCAAGAGGAAGTCTGAGTTTTAATTTGTTAATGCAACACTAACACAGTCAGGAATGGCCTGTGTGCCCCACTGTGCTGGTTTGAATAAGAATGGTCCCCACAGTCTCATATATTTGATCGTTTAGTCCCAGGTGTGACACTATTTCAAAGGATTAGAAGAATTAGGAGGTGTGGTCTTTGTTGGGGGAAGTGCGTCATTGAGGGTGGGCTTTGAAGTTCAAAAGCCCATGTCAGGCTCAGTCTTCGTCTTTCTGCCTACAGCTTAGGATGTAGCTCTCACTGCTTCTCCAGCACCATGCCTGTCATGTCTGCCACCATCCTTCCCACCACGAGGATCTCTAACTCTGAAACTGTAAGCTAGCCCTCAGTTAAATGTTTTCTTCATAAATTGCCTTGATCGTGGGGTCTCTTCACAGCAATAGTGACCATGACACCCAGAATTGTAGCATTGAGCACAGGATGATCACATAGCAGGTGAGAAATAAAAACAAAACAAAGCCAGCCATGGTGCTCATGTCTTTAATCCAAGCACTCCAAAGTCAAGACAAACAGGTCTCCGTGAATTTGAGGTCAACCTGGTCTACATAGTGAGTTCCAGGACAGTCTGGATTAAGTAGTAAGACCCTGTCTCAGAAAAAAAGGAAGGAAGATAAGGGGGAGGGAGGGAGGAAGGAAGGAAAAAGGAAAGAAGGGACATATCTCTGTATTTTGTCAATGAGAAGGTGTTCTTCAAAATGCTGGGGGTAGGGGTGTCCAAAGGAAGAAGAAGCAAGTGGCAAGTGCTCTAATCCCTATATGACAAACGAGACTTTTGCTCCTGCACTGTCACTCTGAACATGACTGACAGCTCCCTTTTTGAGTGGGGTGGTCTCTGAAAGAGTTGTCTGCAGGAGCCCTATGGGCTGTAAAGTACACTCTAAACCAACCAAATGACAGTCCTCAGTTCCAGATGGGAAAACTGAAATTAAAACTGAAAGGACTTATTTAAGACTGTAAGGGGAGAGTTGGCAAGGTGGCTCAATGGATAAAGGCACTTGCCATCAGACCTTACAAATACAGACCCCATCTGAGGCTCCATGAGATGGGAGAACCCTCATGCATGCGTATTTACGTGTGTGTGTGTGTGTGTGTGTGTGTGTGTGTGTGTGTGTGTGTAGGAGAGCACATGCATGAATACACACACACACACACACACAGACATAAGCAAACAAATTACTGTCATTAAAAAGTAAAAAGACTGCCGGGCGTTGGTGGCGCACGCCTTTAATCCCAGCACTCGGGAGGCAGAGGCAGGGGGATCTCTGTGAGTTAGAGACCAACCTGGTCTACAAGAGCTAGTTCCAGGACAGCCTCCAAAGCCACAGAGAAACCCTGTCTCAAAAAACCAAAACCAAAACAAAACAAAACAAAGTAAAAAGACCGTAGATTGACACACATTTAACCGATAACTAGTAGTTCAGAGCTGGCCAGTTTCCTAGTGCCCCTTTACTAAGCAATGAGAATCAGTCACTTATCTAGGCAACTCAGAAATCTTTGAGCAAAATGCAGTCAAGTTCTCAACTCTGCCAACTGCCCCATCAGCCCTCAGGGAAAGGAAAATGCCCTGGACCAGGAGTCATAAAAAAGTAGACTGAATTTACAACCATGTCAGTGGTATGACTTTGAGTAAGTCTCTCACATATCAGTGGTCAGTTTCCTCTCTGAAACAGGGGGAAATTTGAAACAGGGGGAAATTTGAAACAGGGGGACATTTGAAGGTGGTAATCTCTAAGATCGCCAAATTTCAGTGATTGCACTGTTGAACTGCCCATCAAATCCCAAGATGAAAACCCACATGGATCACAGAGAATTTGAGGGCCAAGAGGTCAGCAACCCATCTACAGACTCCAAATTAAAATTGATGAATTGGGGTTCAAGCTGAGCACACAGTCTGTCCAGCTTGTCTTCAATGAAAATGCACACCGTCATCTCTGGGCCCTATTGGAAAATGTGGAACAGCACCCCATTCCCTTCATTTCTCTTTCTCTGTTCTTTTCCAAGGCTCTTAAGCAGTCACATTAAGATGGATCTACATCTGAGGGCTGGAAAGACCACATGGTGGTTAAGGATGCTAGCTGCTTCTACAGAGGTCCAGAGTTCAGTTCCCGGTACTCACAGTCCACAACTACCTGTAATTCCAACTGCAGAGGATCCAATGCCCTCTTCTGGTCTCCACAGTCAACTGCCTTTGAATGCACACCACCACCACCATCACTATCACACACACACACACACACACACACACACACACAATTAAAAACAAAAATACATCTAAAAAAAAGAATGCCCATATCTGAGTACATAGTGCCTTCCTCTAATCAATCCTTTTCAGAGATTAGACATCTCCCAGTATGAGCAGGAATTCCTACCTACATTTGTAAAACTAGCCTCATGACCTTGACGTAACCCCCTGGCCTTCAGCCCAAGTGACAAGTCTTAATTTGGTCATTATTGTATCTTTAACGCTTGACCTTGAGTGACTTCAAGCCATTTTGAAAGCTCACGCTCCTCCTCGAAAAGATGGAGATTTCTTTCCAATGGCAATCAAGTAAACACACACCACACTGCAGAGCCAAATCCCTACGAAGCTTCCTGAAGTGGCATTGCCAGAAAGCTGCTATCACCTTTCCTCTGGGGGCCTCTTTTGAAGGGCTGACCACTTGTTGAATATTTCCAAGTGCTCACTGTGAAGAACCGTCTCTAATGTACCGTTACCAAATCTTCTCTTCTTTCCCATCCCTGGGAGGCTCAAACCTTTCCCTGGCTTCCATCCATCTTCTTTCCCCCACCCTGCCATCTCTAGCTCCTCTTTGCCCTCCCAACACTCTTCTCCTTTCCTGCAATTAGGCAAATGCCCAGGTTGCTGAGTTTTCAAAATGTGACTGGGATCGAAGAGTGGGCAGGGACACAGGACTCTAATGGATCAGGGGAAACTGTCTCAGCATATCTTGTTCCCAAAAGGTCTTTCCTTAGGGAAAGATGACTGTCCCACTCAAACAGTTCAGAGACTTCAAGGAACACCATCATTGAATGCTACACAGAAACCTTCTGTCAGGCTGAGGGGGGCCTTCTTTCTCTACAGAAGCTCATGTTGCAACTTTTCCACATACAGCCCCCAGTGCCAACACCACAGATAGCCTCCCACCTCTCAGGACAGGACTTTAAAATGTACCAAAGACCCCCCCATTTCTTCTCTGCACCGTTTCACAGATAAGGAAAGCAAACCTTTAAAAAGTCAAGAATGCCAGGAGTTCAAGGTTCAAGCCAAGTATCTTGAGTCCCAGTTCATGCCCCCACAAGCATAACAGAAATTGACTTTCTGGGGGAGGGGATCTTTTGCTAAAAGACAGCCAACAGAGACCCTCCAAAACACAAGCATAACGCTTACCCATCAGTTGACCAAGCCCCTATGCTTCCAAGCAGACAGACCCAAATAACCATTCCCAAGGATTTGCCCCCTGCCCTAAGGTTGTTGAATGGTCTCCCTAATAGCTGCTGAGGGTTGGTCACTAAGTGTCTCAACACAGAGAAGAAGAATCTAGCTCTGACTCTTCTAGTAAAGAGCTCTCGTCTCCAGCGTCTTTGCCGAGGGTCCTGCTCCCACTCCTCCCCTACCTGCCAAGAGCTGCATCCAGGCGCAGATCTTGTAGACAGTGGCGGTGTTGCAGAAGAAGAAAAGAGCAAAGCAGGTGATGCAGCCGAGAATCAGCACCATGGAAAGCAACACGAAGAAGGCGGCCGCCTTGAAGGCGCTGGACGGGATGGTGCTGAAGTCGGTGAAAGAGCCCCGGCAGGTGAGCTCGCGGCCCGCTAGCCCGCTGCCCACGCAGTAGTGGAAGAGGCCGAAGTAGCCAGGCTTGGGAGTGCTCACGCTGTCTCCTACCCAGTAGGGCTGGATGAAGACCACCACGTTGATGATGGCGAAGCAGATGGTGAAGATGGCCCACAGCACGCCGATGGCCCGCGAGTTCCGCATGTAGTGCTCATGGTAGAGCTTGGAGGCCTCCTGCGAGGGCAGCATGGTGCCCGGGGGCGGGGCCGGCGGCAGCTGCTGGTGGGGGGCCGCCGGCCCAGGACGGACCACCGGACCACCGGGCTGCGGGGCGGGAGCTGGGGACGCACGCGAGAAGCAGCCCTGAGTCAAGGAACTCGCAAGGGCGGGGCCTGGGGCGGAGCTGGGGACCTGGGGGCTGGCTGGGGAGCTAAGAGGGGGTCATGACAGTGTTGGGGCGGCGACTTGAAATACTAGCTAAGGTTTCTTATTGGGGGCCTAGGAAAGGGGCCATGGGAGAGTTGGGGGGCTGAGATGAGGACATGGGAGCTGGAAGTAGGGGGAATACCAGAAAGTGCTGGTGGGGGAGTTGGAACTGGTGTTGGGATAAAAGGGGGCCGTGGGAGATGCAATGAAAGATGGAGATCAATACCGAAGCATTAACAGCCACCTAATAGAGGGAGCTGGGAAGGGCATATTGGAGATGCTATTGGGGTAGAGGGTCTGGGGCTGGGTGTCTGGAGGGGATCTGGACGCTGATGGAGCTTCTCTATAAGGAAGGGGAGAAGAGGTTGTCAGGGGCTGGTCCTGAGGGCATGAGGAAGGTTACAGTAGGGCCAGCCAGGTAACCAGGGCTAAGTGTTCGAATCAGGATGAGGCTAGCGTGGAATCGGGCTGACAGCGCAGGGTCTGCACTCGCACTGAAGAGTAGGGGGTGCTCCTCAGAACCCGGGTCTGAATGTCGGCTGCGGGGTGTGTGGGGGGTAGTCCAGGATTGGCGGGCCAGGGCCAGGACCAGTGGCTTTCCAGGCCAAGGGGACAGAAGCCCGAGACCAGGGAGCAGTTTGGGCCTGGAGGGGTGGGCAGTGGGCAGGGGCCGTGCCGGGGTGCGGGGGAGCAGCAGGGCCCCGGTAGGGCCGGAGCTGGGGGGTGGCTACCCTGCGCCCAGGCCGGACGCGCGCGGAGGCTGCGGCTGCGGAGAAGGGATGCGGGAGGACCAACCTGGGCCGGGTCGGGGCCGCTGATCCGGGACCGGCAAGGCTCAAGCGCCGGGGTTCGGTGATCCAGGCAGCGGATGCCTCGGCCCAGGCGGCGTCCTCTGCGCGGCCTCCATCTTGCTCGGGCTCTCCCGGGCGCGCTCCCGCGTCGAGGAGCGCGCTCCCGTGCACTGGCGCGGCGCAGCCGTGGCGCGCTCCCGCGCGGGCATAAAAAACTGAGCAGAGTGGAACGAGAGAGGGGGAGGGGCGCTCCAGGTCCTGACAGCTAGAGGGAAAGTCAGGCACGGTGACCCTAAAGTCCCTCAGCCAGAGCCACACACCCCTCTCCCACCCCTACCACAGGCCTCATGACTGCGGGGACTCCCTTCCACCAGCTTGAGTTGAGGGGTTCTAGCTCCCCACCAAGCTTGTGGGAATGGGGAATGGGGGAAGGGCCCCGACCGAGGATTATCTGATAGGCATTGAACTCAATCTCGTGATTCCAGATTACCACCTACCACCTATGACAATGTCTCTAGTCTCTCCATTCTGCTTCCACGCCTTGCCTTTGAGTCTTGGAGGCGGTGAAGGTTTCCAGAGTTTCCTAGGAAACTGTCAACACCCCCCTGGGAGAGGGAAACTCCTAAACTGTTAACACCCCATGCCAGCCTTGGGCATTCCTTGGCCCACAACACAAGGAGATCCAGCCAGGGAGCAGGACCCAAGTTGAGTACCAAAAACAAGAGAGAAAGGGCCTGGGGAAGTTCGGTTTTTCCTCTCTACATCCTCCCCAGTGCCCAAAGCATGCATGCCATGAAGTTTGCACATAATGAAGATCTAACAAGAAATCCTCAAAGTTAAGCCTGGTGATTAGACCAAGGAAAGCCCCCAAGGACACTCTTGTTGGACCTTTGGAACCCAGACAAACTAACACTAATTGTGACCTTGAATTTGAGCTCTTTGAACCTGTCTCCCCATCTATAAAGTGGACAAACTATGCCCACTTTCCAGGTGTGTGTGTGTGTGTGTGTGTGTGTGTGTTTGTGTGTGTGTGTGAGAGAGAGAGACAGAGAGAGAGAGAAACAGAGACAGAGAGACAGAGACAGACACAGAGATAGACACACAGAGAGACAGAGACAGAGAGTGTGTGTGTGCAAATGATGACAGAGAGACAGAGACAGAGACAGACACACAGAGAGACAGAGACAGAGAGTATGTTTGTGCAAATGATCTATGTTAGTGGGTCTCCAACACTGAACCACACTCAGGAGTCCCTTTGTTGAAACTCATATCTATATGCAAAAACTCATGATATTTTCAAAATGTCTTTTTCCAGTGAGATAAGAAACTCAATTTTTTTTTGCCAAGCAGTGATGACACATGCCTTTAATCCCAGTACTCAGGAGGCAGAGGCAGGGCTACAAAGAGAAACCCTGTCTCAAAAAACAAAGAGAGAGAGAGAGAGAGAGAGAGAGAGAGAGAGAGAGAGAGAGAGAGAGAGAGAGAGAGAGAGAGAAGAGAAGGAAGAAAGAAAGGAGAAAGAAAGAATAAACTTTTTTCTGTATAAGTATTTTGGGGAGAGGAGGTGTGTTCAGACATAGTCTTGCTAAGTAGTCCTTGCTGGCCCGGAGCTCACTATGTTAGAGTGAGCTTGTAGCAATCCTCCTGCCCCTACTCCGTCTCCAAATGCTGAGATTATAGGCATGCACCAACATACACTTGGTTTGTGCAGTGCTGGGCATCAAACTCCAGGCTTTATCCATGCTAGGAGAGCATTCCACCAACTGAGTTTCATCCCAGACCAAAACTCCTAACTTTTAAGAAATGGTGGTAATACACAGGGGTGGGAGTATTTCTTTTTAACATCTCTATAAGAAACAGGCAATTTCAACCCTAAATTGTTAAGGGAGAATGACCTGTGAAATTCTACAATTTGAGACCTCAGGTCCATGTGAATTCACCTTCCTCAGGGTCATGAATTTGATTTCTCTTTCCACCCTCTCTTTGAAGAAGGCTTCCTTTCTACCTGCCAAGTATCCTGTGGTCCTGGAATCATGAGCAGGAGGCACAGGGTAAGAAACCCCCTTCCCTTCCCTCTTCCCACTCTACAGAGGGGGACAGAAGCAGAGGAAGAAAACTAACATACCCATGGAGGGAAAACGACCCTGCCAACCTGACTCATGAGCTTACTCATCATCGAACAAGCAGGGATGAGATCCCTGAAGTATGGCACTACAGCTCGGGGGCACTGGAGACAATAGGACACATGAAATAGGCAAGTGGAGTTCCCAGGTTTCCTGGGGAGAGGGAAGGTGTAGGAAGGGGAGGACAGGAGAGATCGGTCTCATAGCATCTTCAGGTGTCTTGCTGTGGATGCTTCTGCTTGGATGTTTCCCAATCTCCTTACTCCAGTCACCACTTCTTTTCCTAACCTACTGAGCCAAGCAAGGTGGTCTAGAACATCAAAAGGGCCACTGAGAATTCTTGCTGGGCAGGGTCCATGGTTTTTCTCTGTAGAGCAGAGGCGCTCTGGGAAGTTCTATTCACCCTGTTCTGACTCCTCTCACACTAGTGCTTTGGTCCCATAGAGCCTGCCTCACTCAGCTCCTGGCTTGATCCGGTTTCTCTAATGTTTTCGTTGTTGTTTCTGATCTAAATAGTCCTGAATAATTCATCTACATTCCTCCAAAAGAGATAGCAGGAGCTTATATATTGATCTGGTTATTTGTTGAGACTGGGTGTTCTGTAACCCCGGTTGACCTCCAATTCACAGTGTAACCAGGGATGACTTCAAATTGTGATCCTCCTGCCTCCACCTTCCAAGCGCTGGCATTATGGGCATGCATTGACCAGCTTCAGTGGGCTTTTGCTTGTTGTTTGTTTTTAATAGAAGGATGTCTGAATACATGAGCCACTCTGACACATCATAACTCAAAGACCAGAATTTGAGGCCAAACTCTGCCACCTATAATGTGTGCGGCTCAGAAGACAACACCACATTTTCAGGGGAGGGGAGGTGTGAGAGGAGGATTGAGACAAGTAGCCCAGGTTTGTCTTGAACTCACGCTGATCCTCCTGCCTCAGCCTCACAGATACTAGGATTACAGGTGTGCTCCCCTCCCCAGGCTTTTTGTTGTTGGTGTTGTTTTGAGTCAGGGTTTTACTCTGCAGCCCTGGCTGGCCTCCAACTGTAGCAATTCTCCTGCCTCAGCTCCTCCAGTTCTGATATTACTCTCGAGAATCTTATTTTCTTCATTTATGAAGTAGAGAAAAACACACTTCCTCCTCACAGATGCTGAGAGGATTAAAAGAGATAATGGATAGAAAAGAGCTTTGTAAATGGAAAGGGGGCTATAAATATAAGTGATTATCATTAAATTTTAATAATAAATGACGTCTCCAGAGAAGAGATACAGCAGGAGCCTTGGAGATGCACTTGCTGTGCTGTGAGGAGTGGAGACAGGATGTGGCCCCATTTTAAAGGAGAACTTAGAGCAGTTGCATAAAGGAAATGTGAGATCCGTTCACAGGAAGAACATCTTATTGGGACCAGGAAGGGCCAGACAAGGAATGAAAGATCAGAATGGGAACCAAAAAGCCAAACATGGTAATGCAAACTTGTAATCCCAGCTCCAGAGGCTGAGGTAGGAGGATGACAAGTTCATGAGCAGTGTGACAAGAGTCTCACTATTTATAAGGCTGGGGGTGTAGCTCAACGGTGTGTTTTCCTGGTGTTCATGAGACCCTGGGTTCCACCTCCAGCAGAGAAGGGAGAGGTTTGGAGTACATATGTTTAATCCCAGCATTGGGAGATGAAGGCAGAGGATCAGGAGGTCAAGTTTATCCTGAGCTATATAACAAGTCCCAAGCTGGACTACATAAGACATGCAAAAAAGTTAAAAATAAAAAGGTGATTGGAGAGATGGCTCAGTTGGTAAAGTGTTTACCAAGTAGGTGTGTGGACTTGAGTTCAGCACCCATGTTTAAAAAACAAAAACAGACAAGCAACAACAGCAGTCTTATTGGTATATGCACTGGGTGTAGGTTCAATGGCCAGCATGTCAAGCAGAATTAGTGAGCTCAGCAGGGATGGTGGACAGCAACGTCTGAAGACAGTCCACATAAAATTCTCACCACCACATGCTTGTGCCTGCTCGTGGCCATGTGTGTACAAACACACACACACACACACACACACACACACACACACACACACACACGAGAAAAGGAAATGAAGATAGAAAAACCCAAGTCAAGAGACCAGAAAGCAAGGACAGTACTGATGAAGTACCTAGAACAGAAGGTACCATTTAATCTCTACAATAACCCCTTGACATCGTGTGATGAGCTGAATTGTGTCCATTACACTGTCCTTTGTTGTGGAATATAGTTTAAGATGTGTTAACATTTGTTTATGTAAAGATGTGTTGCCTTCCTTTATATTGCATTTATTTAACTCTGTAAAGCTATGTTACTTTGCCTGTCTAAAGCACCTGATTGGTCTAACAAAGAGCTGAGTGTCCAATAGCTAGACAGGAGAGAGAAATAGGTGGGGCTGCCAGGCAGAGAGAATAAATAGGAGAGAGAGGAGCAAGAAAAGTTGGAGAAGAGGATGCCTTGGGTCAGTCACCCAGGCACACGGCTAGCAACAGAGTAAAGATGTAAAGAAAGAGATATGGAATAGAGAAAGGTAAAAGCCCAGAGGCAAAGGGTAGATGGAATATTTTAAGTTAAGAAAAACTGGCTAGCCGGGCATTGGTGGCGCACGCCTTTAATCCCAGCACTCGGGAGGCAGAGGCAGGCGGATCTCTGTGAGTTCGAGACCAGCCTGGTCTACAAGAGCTAGTTCCAGGACAGCCTCCAAAGCCACAGAGAAACCCTGTCTCGAAAAACCAAAAAAAAAAAAAAACTGGCTAGAAACAAGCCAAGCTAGGGCTGGGCATCCATAAGAAAGAGTAAGTCTCCGTGTGTTTATTTTGGAGCTGAGTGGTGCCCCTCCCAAAGAGTGAAAATACAAAACAAACAAAAAACTACAGTCCCTATGTTAGAGTCCCAACCCTGAGCAATACAACTACATGTGGAGACAGAGGGCTTGAAGAGAAGGTAAAGCAAACTGCAGTGGTGGACACCTTATGATTGGAGTCCTTACAAGAAGTCAGGACACTCAGTACTT